ACCTCCCAGCACCTTGCCACTTCAAATCCTTCACTGCAGTGGATCCCAGCTCTGACATCCCTATTTAGGAGACCTCTATGATCTTGTCCGACACAGAGCTTCCTCTGACTTTACTTATCTCCTGTATTACAATTCCACTTTCTGCTTTGGATTACAGATATTTGCGTGCATGTCTTTTTTTCCCAGCTGCAGCTCTTGCAAGTAAGAGTCTTTGATGTTGATCTTTCACAATATTTAGCACATGGGAGGGGCTAAATAATTATTTCTCAAATAAATAATCTTACTTCTTATCTTTGTTATTTTAACCTGCTTTTATAGTAGTTCATTTAGCACTGACATTGTAATGTAAATCTTTTCTGAAAATTACCTTACTGTGTGCTATTTTCCATATAATGCTGCTTAACACATTAAAATGAAGAAGGAGGAGGAGGCAAAGGAGGAGGAGGAAGAGAAGGAGGAAGAAAAGGAGTTAGAGGAAAATAGATTCCAGTAGTTTGAATGATGCACCTTCTTTAATCAAGGGAGCAGCTTCAGTCAGTTACCGTTTTCAATACAGACATATTGGTTCTATTGGTAAATAGTTGTGTGCTTTTGTCAGTGACATTACCCCTTGCTAGAGTTTATGCTTGCACTAGTCCTTCCATAAAAAGTGAACACAATTTAACATTATCTTTCTAGAGCCTCATCTCCTCTGTGATGTTCAAATTAGAAATAAGATAAGACCCAGAAATAAACAAAGTCAGATTTAGAATTTTCCATTATTTTTATTGGTAATAATTTATTGTCTCATTTTTTATCAGTTTTGTTAAAAAGGATTTGTGTAGAGGATTTGGGAAAACTAATATCTTTTATTTAAAAAAGAAAGAGAGATAAATGGATGGAAAACTTGTCAATTTGTAGTGTTCTGTGAAGCTATTCTACCGGTGGTTATCTGGTAGCTCCTAGAAGGACCTGTCAGAGAAGAACTCAGTTTCTGATGAATGCTTGTGTGGATCTCAGGGTGGTGATTTAGGCGACTCTCTGGATCTGGCGTTTCTTGGCAAGGTCATAGTGTGTCCCTTTAGTCACAAATATACTTCTGGCAGGGAAACAGAAAGCAAATCCTTAGAACAAGACAAATGTCTTTTGATTGGTCACTGGGACCTAAGCTAGTCAGTTTGGTCAGCCATGTCTCTTCAAAGTGACATAAAAACTGGTATTGACTTGGTCTTACTGTATTACCTAGCTCAGTGGTTTACAACATAGGTCCACTGATGGGTGCCAGTCCACAGTGTAAAAAAGTTAAAAACCATTGATCTTGTTCATGAATTTATTTGTAACTCTTGTCTTTTTTTTCCCACTCCTCAGTCAGAGATCCCTAGATAATAAGCAGGTTAATCTTGTTACCATTTGACAGTGTATCTGTTTCACTTGATGATTTGCCCAGGATTTAGAAGCTGTTGACACAGCTTGAAATACAGTGTAGTGGAGAGCAAGGTGCTACTAGCAAGAATTACAGAGGGCAATTTTAAAGATGCTAACCATGGAGGCTGACACTCACTGAATTTATCTCACAATTTTATCCAAACTGCAGTCAAAACCTATGAGCACTTGTTGCAATTCTCTCCACACCCCATATCTCCGCCTTTCCTCTCTCTCTCTCTCTCTCTCTCTCTCTCTCTCTCTCTCTCTCTGACTCTCTGTGTCTCTCTCGCTGTCTCTCTGTCTGTCTGTCTGTCTGTCTCTCTCTCTCTCTCTCTCTCTCTCACACACACACACACACACACAATTGGATCATAGCTATGAAAATCTCTTTCCATCATGACATGTAGTGAGTCATCAAGCCCGTGGATCTTTATTCCAAGTGCTAGTTGATGCTATAAAATTTCTGTAGGAATGCCAGAAAACAGTAATGAAGAAATGACATTGTTTCTCTTTTGCTAGTGTTAGCATGAAAGTGGCTTTTTCATGTGCTGGTGGGTTCTTGAGAACTGTATGAAAGATTTGTATGCAAAACTTGAAAGGTTAAAAGCTTGAGTTTATTTACGTAGATGTGTCCAGGTCCCTCTCCAAACATTCAGGCCTCTTTTCTTTCCATGTACATCACTTGTTCTGTCCTGGCACTGCTCATTCCCACTTATAACTTTCTAAATCCTAATCCTCATAGTCTACTAGCCTCCAGTGTATGATGACCTGGTCTGTTCCTACACTGTTTTCTATGGAGTATACTGAAATCTTGTCTTAAAATCTTCTGTATGACATACTGTCGCTGAAATCTTGTTGCCGGGCCTCTCTTGGATTGTACCTGGCAGTTCCCTGATCTCTCGGCCTTCCTTAATCTCAGGCCATGTGCCACAGTGTGCATGTGTGAGACTCCTGTGCTCAGTACCTGTCACTGGGCATTCGAGCTCAGCCTGAATCTGCTGCCTACACAGGCCTGTGAGCACCACCTGTACTTTGCAATCTGTCTGGAACTATGAGCCGTGTCTATATTTGACCATATGTCCGGGAATGCAAGCCCTACCTAATCCTGCAGTTAATCTGTGTATAGGTGAGTGTGCAAAGGAAGAGAGAGACTGGCCAAAGCCTTCCTTTTATCTGGTATTATATCCTACTCCCAGCCATCCCATTAACTATTTTGATTGTCCACCTGGCAAGATTTAAATTGACCAACTAAATTCATCTGGCCCTCCACTTCTCGACTCCCACTGTAACAGTAGGAGATTTTATTTGAGACCCATATGTTTTTCAGGAAAAGATATTAAAATACATGTGTTGTTTAGCATATTTGGACAAATTATTAGTTGGTTTCTTCGTATATTGTAGAAATTCTTACGTACCTAAAGAGTAGTAGTTTTTTTTTTTAGTCACTTACCAGAAAGATCAGGCCTGAGGTATTATGATAGTATATTTCTCATGAATTAAATTATATTCTTTATTCATAGAAACTTCTGTTAAAATAAAAGAATTTGCTGAATCATTTAAAGCATACTCTTTCACTGTATATAATCTTTATTCTTATAGAAGATGTTAATAGTCTGAATTTGTGTATAATATCTAGATACATAGTGAAATTGGGCCATATAAAGATATTCCACTGTAGCACTGTAGCACTGTTCTCTCGTTGTTCATCGATTTTGCTCGAGCGGGCCCAGTAATGTCTCCATTGTGAGACTTGTTGTTACTGTGTTTGGCATATCGAATACATTCACGGGTAGCTTGCTAGGCTTTGCCATGGGGGTGAGGTACTCTCGGTAGCTTGCTGGGCTCTCTGAGAGGGGCGGAGGAATCGAACCTGGGTCGTCCAGGACGGCTGTGTGCAAGGCAAACGCCCTACCCACTGTGCTATTGCTCCAGCCCAAAGATATTCCAAATCTCTGAAATGACTTCTACACCTACATGTGTGACTTTTGATGAGTAACTGAACTTTTCTAACTATCTATGAAGTACTAATAACATATCTCGATGTATTAATGAGAATGAAATGAGCAAATATGTGTAGTAAATTTAGAACCATTCTTAGCACAGACTCGATAAATCAGTCATTATTTCTATTCACATTATCAGTTTTTAAATCATTCATTTGTTTATAAATAAGAAAGTTAAAGTAATGTCATACTTTTCTCTCATCTCTTGTGATTTTATTTTTCCAATTGAGTTGAGAACCACAATAAAGCCTTGAACAGGTCGACTAAAAGCAATAAATTAATGATGATATAAAATAAAATTTATGGAAGGAATCCAGGAAGCTAGGTGTTGTGTACAATCATCATAAGGTTATAAATCATTTTTCATAGCAGTCACATGCTGAAAATTAATATTTGTTCATTAGAATATAATTTGAAACTTGGCTTTAATTTGCTAAACAAATAGATTATAAAACAACCATCTTCATACATATAGATATAAGATAAAATATTTAAGTTATTTCTTTAGAAATTCTCTAATAAAATCTTGTTTTATATACTAGGTACATCCATTTTACCTCTTAGAGCTTAGCAAATGCGCCATGTAATGTACGGTTTGATTTGTTGCTGTTGTATACCAAATGCATGTTTATACTTGCAGTGACTGCCCAAAATAAAATTCAAGTGAATATACTGATTCTTTTATTAATATATTCATTAATCATAGATGCCCCAAAATAAAAATCTTTTTTTAAGACTTTTTAAAGACTTTTTTAAAGACTTTAAAGACTTTTTTAAGACTTTTTTTAAAGACTTTTTTAAAAAAGCACTTCTACTGACATAGATTCCACATGTCAGTATAAGTGCTCTTTGTTTTGTTATAATTTGTTTTTATGTTTGAAAACAATTAAGAGTAATTTGCTCTAATCTCCTTTCTTCCTTTTGATCTAATATTGAAGTCACATTTCTGCCTGTGCTTTGTGTATGTGATAATGTAACAGAGCTGATAGAACTTCAGAACCACACCTCAGATCAGAAACAAGGATAGTCCCTACCTCCTTTGTGTCATATGTTATCTATTCTTGGAACTGGAATCATCAAATGATGCATGAAGTACATGTAGATGACTCCCAAATGTGCTAATTTCACTCACAGGTTGTCTTGTCACATCAGTTGCTCTCAGAGCAGAGGTCAAAAGAAACTTGATGCAGATCTTACTACTAACTGAAGAGAAAAAAGAAAATGGTTGTAGAAAGACAAAGAGACTTGCTAATAGCCTAAACCTTTGAAAAGTAACCCAGTAAGCAGTGGTGAGAGAATATCTGTAACAGTATCTGCCACCATCACAATTTTACCTAGTTCCTGTTTTCCACTCATCTGATGTCTGATTTTTAAAAACATAGGTCCTCTGTGTTGTATAGGTTTCTATATGCCAAAACCTCTTAGATGCTGCTTTCCCACTTCATTAAAGTGGTAAAGCCAGAAGTGTGGCTGAGAGCTAAGTTGTAAATGTCTGTGGTGCCTATGATTGAATGTATATTTTCCTGCATGATCATCCATTGTGGTGTTTGTAAGTGGCAAAAAAAAATGAGCCTGATTTGTTCTCCTTTGTAGAGCCAGGCCGAGGCCCACTACAAAGGAAGTAAACATGCCAAGAAGGTCAAAGCACTAGAGGCAACGAAAAATAAACCCAAAATGGTTTCTTCCAAGGACAGCGCAAAGGCTAATCCCAGCTGCTCCATCACGCCAATCACAGGCAACAGCTCTGACAAATCAGGTCAATGATACTTTTTGTTCTTTACATTGTGTTCCTCCCAGTTCCCTTCACCCCATTTTTCTCCCCCCAGCTGCTGCATGATATTCTCCATGATATGTTTTTATAAATATGAATATGTTTCCTTCACAGGAAGGGTTATGTGTTTCCACAAAATCAAAGCATTTGATATGTTACCATTCCATGTTGCTAAATATATACACTTAAGTATATATATGTGTGTGTGTGTGTAAATATATAGATATATAAATGTCTATGCATAAAAGTAATTAGACAAAATGGATTTAAAACATGAGTTTATCATTTCCTTGTTCATTTTGCATGTGATTTTTACCAAAGAATCTAGTAATTTTTAATAAATAATTTATTAAATTTGTTTATTATATAGATATGTGGTATTCCCTTAGCCAAACAGAGACTTAAGAAAAAGTGGTGGGGCAAAATATAAAGTTTTTTGGAAGATTAGCATTGCATTATTAAGTGAATGTGTTGATGTGTCTAGTAATAAAATAATTTGATTTTAACTTCTCCCTCAAAGTTGAAAATTAACACCAAAATTTTAAGAGACTCTACAAAGTTATGAAGAGACTAACAATACAACTTTATGTCAATTGAATTGAACTTTTAGTGCAAACACCTCTTAAGAAGAGTCTATATTTTATCGCCCTAGTGAATCTGCAATATTTCTGAATAGATTCAAACTGTTTTAGCGGAAAGAAGGGGAAAATCATTTTTTCCATTATGTATACCATGAAATTGGATGCTTAATAGGTTTTTTTATGCACTCACACTTACTTGCCCCTCAGAACCCAAGATAGATAGTCATCTTGTTGTGTGACTAATTAGGGAGGCATCTGTTAGAAAGAACTCAGACCCTTTCTTCTCTTGGAAACACACATACTTATGACTTCTGCTTTTCAGAATTTGAGGAGAAAGCTTAAGAATAATTTCCTGCACCCGAGAAATTGCTCAGAGATAAAGGAGACTATCTTGTATCCTGCTGAGCTGGTCAATCCCTGGTCCCACTTATGGTTCCGGAGAACCATGAGGGATAACTTCTGAGTACCCAGTCAAGAACAGCTCTACAGAGTAGCACTGGGTGTGCCCCCACAAACCAAACAAATATAGATGACCCCACTATGGCTTTGCAGAGTCATGAGAAAAGCAAGTCAAATAGGAAAAGTTGAAGTAGTTTCAGAAAAGCCTATGAAAGAAAGAAAATGCAGGAAAGAGCTGTTGTTATTGATTAGATGCCATAAATGTTGTTTCCAAAATTCTTTAGCATCAAAATAATGGATTATGATGCTTTATTTTGAAAGGGCCTCCCTAGAAGTACCGGGGAGGAAAAGGTACTTCCAGTGACACTGATGACCTATTCAAGCATTTAGGTCTAGTTTAGTTTAGCTTAGAGAGTTTTGGTTCTTGGGCCAAATGATGTGTTGCTAGAGACCACTAGGGCCACAGCCAGTAATATTCAAGGGTCACCAGGGTATCATCCTGTGGTTACCAGGATTATACCTGATGGTACTGTGGTAGGGTCTCATACCTCTCAGGCATGGGCTCCAACCCTTTGTACTCTCTCCAATGTAGTTAACACTCTTTGTTCCTTCTTTGATAAAAGTAAGTAAGGCCCTCCCATTGTTCATCGATTTGCTCGAGCGGGCCCAGTAATGTCTCCATTGGAGATTTTGTTGTTACTGTGTTTGGCATATCAAATACATCACGGGTGGCTTGCCAGGCTCTTCCATGTGGGCAAGATACTCTCGGTAGCTTGCCGGGCTCTCCGAGAGGGGCGGAGGAATCGAACTTGGGTCGGCCATGTTGGCTGCGTGCAAGGCAAACGCCCTATCGCTGTGCTATCGTTCCAGCCCTTCCTTCTTTGATAGAGATATGAATTAAGAGCATCTGATGAAAAATTAGAAAACTGAGATATTATACCATATTTCTTCTCTTCTAAATAATCAACCCTTTTTGTGTGAAACAACCCTCTGTTAGAGGTTTTTTTTTTCAACCCCAGTTATGCACTTTATCCTTTGCAGTACTAAAAAGCAAACTTTTTAAAAATTTTTAAGTGAAGGTTAGTGTCTTTCACTCTTTTAGCTTCTTTTTTTGCATCTTGAGCTAAGAGCCTACTTGATGGTTAGTGTAAACATCCCAGTGTTGCTCATGTGTGTGCTTAAAGCTTCCCTAAAGTGTATTATTATTTGGGGATTGTTTTTCTCAGGTAATAACAAAATAAGAAATAAAGTGCTGAAGATAGAAATAGAAAAGAATCAATAAGAAAACAATTAATAATAGAGTCAATACTTTATAAGAAGAAGGGACTGTGTGGTTTTTTAAAATAGGAAAAGATGTAGGAGATAGGGAAAAAGTTACAGATTAGGGAATGGACCCAATGGAAGGCCAGTGTAGAAACAAACTCCAAATAAAGGGGGTTTGTATACCTTTTACCTACCTGATATTCAATGAGTTTACCTTTAAAAATAAAAGTTTAACAGTTCAAGACTTTGATGCTAATTCTTAATTGATGTGAAAGCTTAGAAAGAATTTTTAAGTGATTATAGGCCTGTTGAGCAGTAAGAACACACTAGGACTAAGAACAGAATTAGTTTAAACAAGAAAAGACACAAGAATGGGGAGAGGTCTAAGTAAATCTCAACCACAGAATCATTTCATTGGTAGCTACATGGAGTTCTTCAGACCTAAACCCTCCACTTCTCACATTTCTGTATCCACCACCCAAAATACTTTGGTCTAAAAGGATTGGCCTCCCTCATCACTTCACTGTATGGGCTTGAACTAGAAGTAACTGAAACCACTGGAAACCACTTATATTTGAGAGATATGTGATTTTTCATGTTTCCTCTTTCAAAATCCATTTTAATTATTTTAGAGCCATTGGTTGAATCATTTAAATAAATTCCTTATTCTCTACTTTTTACAAAATAAACACTAGTAAAATTGTTTTTTATATATAGCAAAAATAATACCAAACTGTTTCAAATAGCATTATTTAAGCATAAAGTGGATTGCATAAAGTGGGTTGCATTTGCTAAATGCATGTACTTTTGTCATCTTCATCTGGTAAGTCTGCTTTGGAACAAAAATTCACATATATTCTTTATAAATATTTTTAGTTGGAAAGTTAGAAACTCTGCTCTAACAGCAAACATTATAGAAATAAATCTCTGTTTCTTAAATTATTGGTCACAACCACTTTTAAGGTCACAACTTTTTAACTTGTTTTAAGGCCAGAGGTGTAGTATATTGGTTGGATGCCTGTCTTGCACATTGCCAGCCCTGGTTAAGCTCCGGCACCACATATGATCCCCTGGGCACTGTCAGGAGTTATAACCTGAGCACAGAGTCAGGAGTATGCTCTGAGAACTGTCAGATATGGCCATAAAAAATCTCAAAAAAAACTTTTGTTTTAAAACAAATCACTGTATGATTTATTCTTAAGTGTTTGATTTATTTACCTAGTTTATAAATCTATAGCCCCAGTGCTGCGTAAAAATATCTAGGGCAAACATTAGGGAATATTTAAGAAACCCTTGTGTAAATGATGTAATATGTAGCTATTGTTGCCTGTTTCTAAATACTTAAAACACTCACAGTTTTGTGGTCGTCACAAATAGTTTTTTAACAAGTTTTTATTATAGTTAAAGCCCTGTTTCAGGAGAATAAAAGAATAAAAGTCCTTCATAAATGGTCTGGAAGGATACAGAGAGGAAGGGAGAGGAAGATGAATGGTAACTATGGAGCTTAGTTGACAGAAATGTTTTATCTCAGACAACAATGCTTTTAAAGGGTCAGCCAAACATTAGAGTAACAGTCACAGTGAACAATCATGGTTGACTGGCAATTCTTGTGAAACTGAAATTCACTGGCATTGGCCATCTTCTGAATGGAGAGCTCCTGTCAAGTAGGCTTTAGGCGTAACTATGTGATTCAAAAACGTTTTGAATAAAACTGAAAAAGTCAGTTAGTTGATATCTCAGCTGCCAGAGTTTAAATATCTAGGCACTCACCACACCCAAAGGATTGATTGGTTTACACTTTAGTCTTTCTCTTGTTTTAGCCTCAAAAATTTAGCAAAAGAGTGTTGTTTAATTAGGGCAAATACAGAGGGAGAGAAAACAGCCGTGTTTGGTGGATAGAACTTCTGAAAGAACAGCATCTGGAATTCACTGAACATCAGTCACATAAAGTGTGATATTTTTTTTTTGATCTGACAAGGAACTCAGGAACTATAGATGACCTCTCTCTTTTCACAGAGAGGACCTAATGTTCTCATAAATGCCTTGTGTATCTTCCACTACCTAGAACACATTCTTACCAGCTGTTTTGCATTTTGCTTGATTTTTTTTTGTTTTACATGTTACATTTGGATACATAATTTGGCTTGTACTGTGTTTGATTCTGTGTGATACAAAAAGATTTGTTATAATGAAGCTATCATGTCAAAAATTTCAAATTATCAAGGAAATCGTTATAATTTTTCTCACTTCAGTAAACAATATGAGTTTGAAATACCATCCAAAAAAACTATTTATTATAAGAAGAAGCTCTAACTATATGTTATATATATATATATATATATATATATATATTCATGCAGAATTTAAATGAGAATAGCTGACTCACCCAATTTTAGAAGTTGGGATAGAAATAAATATAAAATCCAAAGAATGGCCTCCAGGTCTCCCAGGATTCATCTAACTTTTAATGATGCCATCACTGAGGGTTCAGAACTTGGTAGGAAGGAGGAGAAATGTGCTTTGGGAGAATCAGGGTCAGAACACAGCAAGCATTAGGCAGCTTTAAAAAGATGACTAGAACATATTGGCCAGACACTCTGCCCAAATTTCTCCCTGGAGTTCAAGTGTCATAATGCCATATGACAGTATACTTTGCCGTGATAATATGTCTCATATATCAAATTGAATGCGCTTTTGTCACGGCATTTAATGACTCATAACAGGTTCACAAAATACAAAACA